TTTAAAAATCCAAACTTGATCAAAATCAGCTTACTGAACATGAGAGGCTGGGTATNCATTTGGAACCGTCATCTTGAAGTCTATAAAATATCTGCAAAAAATAATTATAAAATAATAAGTGCAATTCAAAATGATAAGACAAAGTCTAGCATTATGCTTCCCTTTATTGTCTAAAAAATTCAAAATTATTATATCATAAATAAATATAACTCTTAGCTCTCACCTTTAATGTTTTGTGTGATAATTGATGTGAATGTAATAAAAATACCCAATAGGTTCATAGGCTGTGCTGCCATTGGTACAATAGAAGCAATGTCAGTGGAAGTTGGAGAGCTGGGAACTAAAAGAAAACAATATGATCTACATAATACAGAGCAGCTGCTAATGTTAGGAAAATACGCCCATTTAATAGTAAACTATAGTAATGAACTGTCTCCTATAGCACTTGGTGGAGCTCCCTTGAGCACACAAATACAAGTTAAGCAAATTAGGCACTTGCTAGAGTGAACTATATCGCCAATGGCAATTTCTATACAATAATTGCTACTGTTGACCTGGAAGATTTTTATGAACAGCTGGTGAAGGAGAGGTAGGTGTGGTTGGAGTTGAAACAGATCGAGTCTAAAGGGACAATTGAATAAAGTGAAGGTGAAGATAAATTAAATAAACATTACATGTGTTAGGACAGAGTGAAAGTGTTTATTAAGATAGACTGCTTCATATAGCACTAGCAATAAAGCCTCACTAATCCTATCGCCATATTATAATGTCATCATTATTAATGTAATGTTAATGATACTCACCTGACTTTAGCAGGTGGTGCTTCAGCTGGCATTAAAGCACTTCCTACCTGAAGAAAGGAAAAAGAGGAGAGAGGTGAAACAAAAAAGAGAATAAATATAATACGCAGTTTATTCAAATTTTTACCCAGCTGGTAAGAGCGCCTATTAATGACTTTGGCTCTTCATGAGAAGATGAATATTGTCTAACATGTGTACAATTCACACAGTCTCCACTTGAATCACATAACAATTCAATATCTTACTTTATATATTCAGTTAAAATTGCTGATATAATATGACCCAAACCCTGCAGTGATGAATACAATAAGAATAAGCTGCTATTTATACTTTGTAGTATTTCCTATTCTAAAATATATCAGTCATCATTACTAACATTAAGAATGATCTCATTATCCAAGACAGAGAGCTTGATTACATAGAGATTAGCAGCCTATGATGAATCAATGTAATGTATATTTAATAATATTATAAATAATTTAATAATATTATAAAGTTAATAATATCAATAACTTTATTTGGACAACACTAATATACCATTATTCCTTAAAGTACAATGTACTATGACCATGCACACATTGCAGTACATAAATCATGTACATACATTATGCTACATGAATACCTCATGCTTCCTGTAATTGACTAACAGGGCTAGGGCAACAGCTGCATCATAGCCGTGGTGCTCCCGAGCATCAGGATGAAAGAATGTCGATACGAGAGCTTCAAATATGCTGTTGAGCATGAAATATTCCAGCATGACATTCTGACTGATGTTATCAATTGAGGTTAGGATGATGAGTATGAATTTGAGGCACAAGTTCTTTACACTAACTGGAAGAGAGAGAGAGAGAGAGAGAGAGAGAGAGGATGGTATATGTATTAGTACATAATGTAGTACCAGGATATTCCTCTGATAAGAATTTGCATAAGCACTCAATGAGATTCTAAAAATAGAATGTTAGAGAATGCTTTCCATTACTAAAAATAGAACATACTCTCATTTGACAGTCTGCAGCATCAACCCCAATCAGAATGTCAACCACTTCAATGCTGGAATCAGAAGATGAATGTTTACGATAAATTGACTGAACTAATACACACAATGTCTGAGAAGAGAGAGAGAGAGAGAGAGAGAGAGAGAGAGAGAGAGAAGCAATTGCATTTATTTCAGATAATAATTATTTAACCTGCAAAGCATTGATATTTCTAATCATGTTGTCATCAGTTTGAAGCATTCGGCAGCACTGGATAAACAAGTTATTAATGTTAGCCTAGTTATTAACAGTAAGTTATGAATAGTTAGTGTGCATATACTTTTATTTGCATGAGGTTAGATAAAGACATTGCCATAATAGCTCCTTCTAAGAATTCTACATTAGCCTGTGACAAAGTACTGACATCAGAAAGA